AAAAAAAATTGACAAAGTAGAAAATTGATATTTAAGTTTTTAATATTTTTTATTTTTAATATTTATTTTCTCAGGGTCAATGACTGTATATTGCGAGTAAATGAAGTAGATGTTCGTGATGTAACACATAGCAAAGCAGTTGAAGCATTGAAAGAAGCAGGGTCTATTGTACGCTTGTATGTAAAAAGACGGAAACCAGTATCAGAAAAAATAATGGAAATAAAACTCATTAAAGGTCCTAAAGGTATGCGATAAATCAAACTAAGACAAATTATCAATTAAGAAATCTCTGAGTTCAATATAACTATGAACTGATTATTACACCCATTCTAAGATTAACAATACTGGTACTCTACGGATTTTGAGTGGATTTTTAGAATTTCTCTATTATTTCTACTGATACTCATCTTAAGTAAAATTTTAACATGTCTACCTTCCTACCAGGATTGTAGCATTTGAAAAGTTCTTAATGTTAACCTTTGTATACTTTTACACATTTTACTGTCTGAGACTATGTACAAATATATAATTTAAAAATAAATTCCATGTGATTTTTATATTCAAGATTTCCGTATCCGATCTTTAATAGTTTCAAAAAAGTAGGAAACAAAATCTCTACTTAAAAATAGATTCTGTGAAAGATTTTCGGCATTAAATGAAATGAAATACTCTTGTCCTTGAACACTTTAAAGTCATGTGTAGTGTTGATATTAACTTGTGTAATTAATCCACAAAGTATTTTAAATGCAGATACACAGGATAAGTTAAGAGAAGAAAGTATTTAGTGTGTGTGTCATGAGCAGTTACATCTGCATGGAGGACTAAGAGATATGATTCCTGAATTTTGAAAACATTGATGGGATTGAGGATAAATGAAAATATTAATTCCAATATGTGGAAGAAGATGTAGGATTCCAACAAATGAAAAAAGGAATAGAAAGCTGGGAATTTATCTGATATTGGAGCTGTGGGATTTACACATTACGAAAATCCCTTATTTAAAATTGTTGACTCCTAGAATATTTTTAAAAAGAATTAAAATATTCACATTTCTAAAGCCTGTTCTGCCCACCACCAACAGTTTTTTTATTTCTTCTCAATTATTTTAATCTTGTGGAAATATTAAAAGCGTTAATAAGAAGCACAAGTATGATGGAAACAAAAGTAAAACATAATTTTGCAATGTCTTTTTAAACTAATAAATGCATTTACAAAAAGACTTNAAAGTAAAACATAATTTTGCAATGTCTTTTTAAACTAATAAATGCATTTACAAAAAGACTTGAACAAGGAAACCAGAGGAAAAAAAGGAATATATTTGTAACTGTGGGAGCGTCTATATTTATAATTGTCACCTGATTGCAGAACAAATACTTAGAATTTAAAAAGTAGATAGCTAAATGGATTCTTTTCTATTTTAAAGAGGATATAGTGTGATAGAATTATCACTGTCTAGTTTTCAACCACTTCTTCATGGATTTAAATTCACATTTATTGATAAAAATCTAAAACCTAGTGTTTTCTAAGCAGGTCTTGGGTTCAGCATTGCTGGAGGTGTTGGAAATCAACATATTCCCGGGGATAATAGCATCTATGTAACCAAAATAATTGAAGGAGGTGCAGCACATAAGGATGGTAAACTTCAGATTGGCGATAAACTTCTAGCTGTAAGTCTAAGAAATCTGTTGTTTTTAACATCATTCTTATATCTATTTTTTTCTGACAAACTCTAGAATTTCTGCATACCAAAAATGTTCATATGATGTTTAAATGAGTGAATACTAGCCTTGCTCTATCAAAACCTGAAAAATAATTCTTGGTATTATCTTTATTTGCCATTTCCATTTTCTCTACCAGCCCCACTCTCTTTTTCTTTTATTACTTTTTTTTTT